TGACTAGAGAAGGAAAAGAGACATCTGTTACTTGTCAGATATTTTGGTAGTATCTGCTCTAGACTGGAAAGTATTTGTTTTTTTATGAGAAAGTAACATAAGCATAACTAATCAAATGTTTTCTGCTGTGTTTTAGCTCTCGTCTTATTTCCAACTAGCAATGAAAAGATAAGATAATATGGGAACCAGGAGCAATCTAGGATTGTCTCCTCATACAGAAAGAATAAAACTGAAGTCTGTAATCTTCACAACTATTTCATCATTTAGATTTGATAAGCTCTTTGTAGCACTGGCTCTATTTATCAGTAGGTTTTGTTTGTACTGACAAATCAATTCATGTATTATAATATTTTATTAAAAATTGTATCTATACTATACATGCATGGATTTTTGCTCATTTAACTCCTGAACAAAATGAGTAGAGTCTATTTATAATACAGCCTTTATCATTTATTAGCACTTTGGCAATCCAAAATTATGAAAAATATTCAGGATGGAAAGTGGTTGATTGACGTGTTCCAAATTACAGTGAGGCTCTGATGCATTCTTGGATAATTGACTACAAATGGGTTTGGTACATATTTGAGTGATAAAGTGCTTGATGCATAAGGATATGGATTCATCCCTAGCACCTACATAAATGTCAAACATGACAACATGTGCCTCTCTCTTCATTTCTGGAGGTAAGGAGATGTAGATGAATAGATATCAGGATCTCATTGATCAGCTGGAATGACAAGCTCCATGTAGTGAGAGATCCTGTGTCAAACTATGATGGAGAAGCCACTGAGCGTTGTATCCTAACTTCAACATATAGCCTAATCACATTTCTGCATGGGTGTGTGTGTGTGTGTGTGTGTGTGTGTGTGTATACATGTGTTAGTGTGCACGCACACACACATTGACACATGCCACAAACACACGTGACTACAAATGGTAACTTTGAACTATAAGAAAGATCATTGAAAAGAAAGGTAATTTCTAAATAAAAATGGCTTCTTTCTTTGTTTAACTCTGTTTTCTTTACATCTTAACTGTATGGGCCAAAGCATTTGCCAAGGAAGTATGAGTAACAGTTGTCCTTAAAAAATGTACTGTTTCCTCCTGTTGGGTTTCTGTGTCAATTTCGATATGAAAGCTTTGCTTCACATTATAAATTATTTTGTCATGTTTGGTTGTTATCTCTTAAAATCATGTTCTTTTCTAATAAGAGACAGAAAGGGAATAGATCTGGAGTTAAGGGGAGGTTGGGAGAAACTGGAAGGAGTAGAGGGAAAAGAAATACAACCAGGTTATATTGTATGAGAAAAGAATCTATCTTCTTTTTTTTTTTAAAGTGCTCTGTCAAAAGAATGTGCCACTAGGAATTCAGAGATTAGAAAGAAGTTGGTGAGTTGGAAGAACTATAGGTTCTTCAGGATGGTAAGAATGAAGAGAGGAGTGAAGGGAGGTGAGATGGGAAATCAAGTTGAAAGATAATTAGTTAATCCTTCACGTCAGGAAGATTTTTATCCTAAGCATGAGAAAATGCCATAGAAGCTTACAAGTTTGCAAGTGAAAGGATCAAATTTGAATTTCAGAATGGTTTCTTAAGATGTGGTACAGAGAATAAATGCAAAATGAAGGAATATTAGCATCAAAGCAAGTAATTCAAAGGATGGTCTACAAATACAGTCAAGAGCTGGGATGCAGTGGCAATCTCAGGGGTGGAAATGTGGCCAGACTTGGAATAAATGAATACTACTCTGCTAGGATAGTTGCTTGTGAGTTCTCCAAGATGGAGGGAATTAGGAAGTGGGAGGCCAGGGATAGTAAACTGCCGGCTGAGATCAGTGTGACTTGGAAATTAAAATATCAGAGATTGAGCCAGGTGGTCGTGGCACATACCTATAATCTCAGCACTCAGGAGGCAAAGGCAGGTTGATCACTGTGAGCTCAAGGCCAGCCTGGTCTTCAAAGAGAGTTCCAGGACAGTTTCCAAAGCAATAAAGAGAAACTCTGCCTCGAAAAACCAAAAGAAAATCAGAGATTATGCAAAAGAGGAGGATGGATAAGGAAGAGAGGAAAGGAGGAGGGAGGGAGGAGGGAAAGGAAAAGTAAATATCTTCTTTGTCTCAAATAAATAAATGATACTCATTCATTAGTACCTCTGTTATCTGTAGTTGTGTTGTCTAAGATTCTTAATAACTCCTGTTTAACATTTAAAAGTATAAAATGGGAAATTCAAGACAAAGACAATTCAGGTTTCAAATTGGGCTTTAGTTTGGAAAGTATGGTGAAATAGCATACTGTTCTTCTGTCATAGCAGGATGGTGAACTTTCTCTTCTTCTACCATTTCCAAGCTGTATTTGATTCTCTCCCATATAGACATTTAGTGCTCTCCCGTTATCAGTTCTTCATGCATGTATTCAACAGTAACCTTTATTTTATTTGCCAGTGCCACCACAGTGCAAGGTATTGATGATGTCAATCTAAATACACCAAAGAGAAGTTGAAAATGTTCCCTTTTAGTAATTATAATGAAGAGTGAAGCATATTCAGAGTTGGGAAAAAATCTATACTAATAATGAATCTTCTACTCCTGAAGGTAAGAAGGAAAACTAAATCACCCCACTTTTGCAGCTTACATCTCAAAGTGCAAGTGTTACAGCCATATTTCCTCACTGATTAATGCTTCATTCAGATGGAAAAGCATGAAATATAAACAGAAGACATAAGTAGGAAATATGTTTAAGCTGATATTAATGGCATGGAAGAAAGCCTGGAGCCAGCCAGAATACTTCAACAAGAGATTTCCTAAAATAAGTGACACCAAGCCAGGTATATCAAAAAAGGGCTGATTTAAACAAGTGTAGTAATGGGTTTGACCTAAAAGATACAAAAGTTACTGGGAACCTTCATTTCCCATTGAAGATATAAAGAACTTCATGATAAAGTATCCTTCAAAAACAAACCTTTGATTACTTAGAAATCAGGCTCTTGAAGAAGATGCCTGGTAGGACATAGTTTCACAAAACTCAAATGGAAGCACTGAAGTTTAAGACATGGAGAAACATGTGGGGGGTAGGCAGAAGGTGGAGAGAGGGGATGAGAAGAGAGAAGTGAAGGGAAACTGTGGTTGGCATGTAAAATAAATTTTAAAAATTAATTAAAAAGACATAAAGAACTAGTGAGTGCTGTTATCACATGACAAACAATTAGATAAAGTCCGACACAGTGCAAAAGGCAAAGAGAACATTCAAAAGCAAAAACAGAAGCCATATTCTGAGACCACATTCACATAGCTTTTATTCCGATGTTTTGTTTTTTTAATTTTCTAGTTTATTAGTAGTGGTCGTTAATCATGCATACTAAATACTGACCTATACATATAGAAAAAAATGTGAACATTTTGGGTTCAATGCTATTCAACATTTCAACCATTCTGTGAGGTCCTTGACTGTATCTGCCATAAATCACTACCAGAATATATTTAGAAGGAAGAACCCTTTGTCAAATGTGTTACAAAATTGCTTTACTCTTTAGTATTTTATCTTTACTGAAACATTATAGATGGAAACTTAGCATGAAGCTAGTTAAGATACAAGAGATTTTGTAATATTGGTCCAATTCTGAAAAAGTTAAAGGTATTGGATTGTGAACTGAGGATAAAATACAGTGCCTTTTCCTATGTTCCTATTTGCCACCTTTTCTACTTCATCCCATAGAAAGCTGCAGGATGCCTAACCTGAATGCAATTCTGTTTTTTGGGGGTGTTTTTTGTTCTTTTTAAATTAAAAACAGGAGATGTATCATGCAGTCTTTGGTTCTCAGAGTCTATTGTTGAACAACTGCATATCTATAAGGTAGCTATGAATTGTTGAAGAACTTATAAATGACACTATATTCAAATGTTTCGAATAACATAGAGGACAAAGAAGTAAGCAAGACTTTTACAGAGGCAATAAGGGGTTGTGTCTTGTTTATAACCATATGAATCACTTTAGCACTGATAGGATATATAGAAAAATGTCATCTTAGACATTTCCCTTAGAAGAGTCATTTTGACCATTATTGACAGAGCTGTCCCTTTATACAATTTCATACCTCCTTTACACCTTAGCATGTATCACTCTCATTTGAAACTATTTGATAAGTCTCCAAATCGTTCTGTGGATTTGTTATGGGGCACCTGTTCCTGGAGTGATGAATAGCATGCAATAAGATCTCAGCAATTACATTCAAGATATGAACAAAGGCAGAAGCCAGTCAGTGCCTGTAGTTCCCTATTAGGATAAATGAAAAACTACCCCCTGTTTTCTTTTCACATCAACTAATATGTTACCATATTTCTACTTGCTTTGTTCTTGCAAAATCAATTTCTCTTCCAAATACTTTATTTTATACACAACTTTACAATGTTACTGATTTATCATCACCTACAATTTTGATATAGATTTCTGTAATATTTCTTTCATTTTTTCTTGTTTTTTTCTTTTTTAGTTTTTCAAGACAGGGCTTCTCTTTGAAGTTTTGGAGCCTGTCCTGGAACTCACTCTGTAGACCAGGTGCCACCACCTCCTGGTGATGTTTCTTATTCAATATTCTACAGGAATGTTAGTAAAACTTCCTTCTATATCATATAAACATAGTCATCTTTCACCTTAAAAGGGCTGCCAGAATGTGTCATCATGAACTCTGAAGTTTCAGAAATTGAGTTGACAGGCTCTACTTACTCCCCTAAATGTGAAAATATCTAATTACATGGGAGTAATTATTACTTGTGTTCTGTATAGCTTTTAATGCATTCACTCTCCTCTACACAAATGAGGGTTACAATATTTTCAAGACTTTTCTAAATTACTTAGGTAAAAAGTAACATTCAGAAAACATTTCAGTTCCTTGGTCTAGCTTAAGTGTTTGTCCTGGCTAAAAATAATATTGGAGCACAATTTTCAACACTGGGACTTTGAGATGTGCAGGAGATATTAAGAGTTGTCATGTTCTATGAGAGACCCACCTACACAAATGAGCTCAGGATTGGGTTAGTGGTCACTGTCTAGCCTCTTCCTCCATTCTGTAGGTGCCCACTTATTCTTCTGCTTTCTGGCCATGTGTTGAACAATATCTGGCCTTCACCTGGAGCTGAATAGACAAAAAGCATCCAAAACAATGAGATAAAAATAAATCTCATTCCTTTACACATTTCTTGTTCCCAAGTATCTTCAAAAGCAACAACAACAACAAAGACAGGTTCCTGTTGGACAACATGAGATTCGGCTGCTGTGTCTGACCTGTGAGACAGTGGGTCCAACATCCATCTTTTGATACGAATGTATTAGCAGAAGAAAGGTTATAGTGGAGTAAGAAGAAACTGTTACCCTTCTCTCTAAGCTTATTCTACTAAGCCATTCAAATGGGGCAGGGTTGGGGGGGGGCTTACCATGAATGAGAATTGGTATGTTTATTGCTTCATTCTATTTAGTAGTAGTCTATTTAAAATTATCACTAGTAAATCATCAAATTTATCTAATAGGTAATAAAATGATCTCAGCAAAATAAAAGGAGTAACAAGAATATAGTCTGGATAGACATAGCCTATTGTTTGTGGTCAAAAACATACATATAACACTAGATTTAATCTCTTAAGCTTTACATGTGTATAATATAACATTATTAATTTTACTTACACACTACATGTGGAATAGGATAATTAAATAGTCGATTAAAAATTGTTTGAACAATAAGTTTGATATCAATACTTACCTGAGAGGTACTTACATAAACCACTGGAAATTAACTTGGAGACAATATAAGAAAGTGAAAAATGTTCTTTAAACCCAAATTATAGAGTCAGAGCATATGGTATATGTTTAAAATATGTAATGTAAAAATGAATAAAGGAAATTTGGAATTTGATAAACTGTTTTTAGTTATTTAACTATCAATAGCTCTTAATTTCACTATTTTCAAGTGTTGTAATTGCCTTGGGACACTGAGTAAATACTTGCATGCAAATAAAAGAGATATATTTTTCTTTAAAGCAGCTAAATATTAACTAAGCTTACTTGGGAAGATTTGCAAAGATAGAAAGTGATAAGAAGGATGACCACACTGAGAAATTTTGACAAGTTTAGGGAATGATGATGAAAAGAAAAACCCCATGATTCTTTTGGAAATACTTGCATAAGTGTGTCATTTCAGGACAGCTCCCTGCCACATATGTAAGTTTTTCTGGAAAATGTGTTCATTTCTGCACTGTCAGGATGGGATCATTTTGTGCCGTTTACAGCATAGACAAACCCTGAGGGTAGGGAAGACCTACTTTTTCACTTTCTGATTAAGTTACTTGGCTAACACAAGCTGAACACTAACTGTAATAAAACTTGGATTGACTAACAAATTCTGAGACAAGTAAAGATTAAGAAACATAAATTAAAAGAATGAGATTCTATTCAGATCATGATGTTTGATGTTTCTTGTCTTACATCTATTTAGACACTTTTATCCCAAGAAATGCAGACTCTTAAATCCTGTGGACTATTGCTTTTTTTTTGTTACTTACTTTTATTTTTACAGTTGCAACAGAAACAATGAATCTTTGGCTAGATACCCGAATGAGAACACTTTTGACCTATCATACCAGTTTTTTATTTAAATCATTTAAGACATGAACAAAGATTAGAGTCACTGTATACACTTTTCCTTAATAGTTTCACAACATTTTATCCCATTTATTCACTGGAAACACTAAATACTAAAAAATGTCTTTGTATTAAAAAGTTAAGCCTACAATGGATCATAAGAAAAATACAGAATAATGCCTCAAATAAATACATACCAGAGAATAAAACTGAGCTAAATATAAGTATAAATAGAACTACTGTTGTGTTTAAAGTATTTATGGTGGCTACATTCAAAATAATATATGTGAGTTGAAAACATATACTCTGGAAGATGATTTCAGAGAGCACTTGTGCTCATGGGCAGACACATACACGTGCATGTAATTAAAAACAACCAATATGAATATTAAATTAGAGAAATATTCTCCAGTTTTATTTTGTTGTTACTGTTTTTGTTGTTGTTGTTCTCTGAGACAGGGTTTATGTCCTACAATTCCTGTTTTTACCTAATTTTCTATTTTCTATGACAAACACAATCAAAACATGTAGCCTATTTTGTAGTTTATTGAACAAGAATTCTTAGCCTGCCAAGATGGTTCAGTTAATAAAGATACTTGCCGAACAAACCAGGTACCTGGATTCAATTATTGGATCTAAGGGTGGAATGAGAAAACTAACTCCTAGGGGTTATCCTCTAACATGTAGATATATGCTGTGGCATGTGTGTACTGACAGTCATATACAGGTATCACATACATACACATTCACAAATAAACAAATAGGCCTTTCTTAAACACCCTATATGCAGGAACTCATCAGGAGTTAAAATGTTAGATTATATCACAAGGTGACTAAAGCTATAAGTGACAGGTAACTACTTAAACTTTAAAATATAAAACACTTTCTAAGATTGTCTTAACTGTATGAGAGTCTCTCCCTCACTTAGTCTAATACTTTGCTTTTATCTATTCAAATTAACATTTACAAGCCAAATGTTTTCTTATAAGTTTTTGAGAAAACAATTTCTCTTGAATAGTGTTCCAAAATAAGCAGTTCAAATAAGATATGCTTTGGGAAAATGTTAATAAACTTGCCTCTGGCAAATGTTTTGAGTTTCCTTGTATTTCCTTTACTTGGCAGTGATTTATTTTGTGTTTAAATAATGGAGAAAAATGGCATAAGACTTTACAAGTGGATACTATCATTATACTGACAATTTCATTAAAAACTTCTATGTAATGTTGAGTGTTGTGAGACCTTTAATTGAAACTTGCTGTATAAATTAAGCAGGAAAACAGTGGATTAAAATTTAAAAAGCCTTAAGGCATGAATATTAACTAGAATCTGAATATCCCACAATCCCTTATCTCTACCTTCTTTGCTCCTTCAGCTATTTGTTGGACAACAGAGAAAAGTTACCACAAAAACCCTAAACCCTCTCCCCATGGTGCTTAAAGTCTTGCAAGCAACATAACAGTGACTGTAAGAAACCAAGTCAAGGGTCATAATAAATGAACACAAGTATGCAAAGAGGGAGATGTCGGAATGTGGGTGGCCCATATCTTGGCAGTGGTCTGTGTTTGGCCCATATCTTGGCAGTGGTCTGTGTTTAAAATATTAAGATTCCTTTGCTTCAAACTCTTACTCTAAGTTCTAGGTTGTTGGTTAAAAAAAAGTGAGTGTTGCTATCACTATTCTTTTTAGCTAGAGAGAAGAAAAGTTAACTACCCCATGTAGTGCTGGGGACAGTGACAAATAACAAAGCATTGGGTGTGTCTGGCACATGGGTGTTGAATTGCCATCATTATTGGTGTTGTCCCCTCTGTTTCACATGCCACCCCATCTTCTTAATAACAGCTAGGAAGAATGTTGCTAACTAGGGTGACTGCAGCCATTGAAGATTTGGTGAGAATCCAAAATCCACAACCCCTAGGAATTTTTCTGGATCCTCTAGTAGGAGAAACATTGCAAGAAACTTACAGCACACTAAATCAGCAATGTTGGCCTGGAAAACCATTTATGTAATTTCTCTGCTTTTGTTTTAGGGAATCTTCCAAGATAATTGTCTAGAGATTCAGATATAATTTGAGCAGGGTATGCTAACATGGCTTCAACAATGATCTTACTTTTCTTGTAATTGTGTTCTTACTAGTCATTCTTTCCAGTGATGTGTCATGCTGTCCCAATTGGCTGTCTGGCTGTTCTTTGCTCCGGTGTTTGCTATAGCAAAAAAGTGAAAATATAAAATTACCTTCTTTGACTTAGTGTTAGTTCAGTGAAATCTCTCCAGATGTATCTTCTCATATTTCTCCCTCTAAATCAAATGGTTTGTTGAAGGATCCATCAGGTTTTTATCTTATTTTGAGGGGGAGAATAATTACCCAGTTGATATTCTAAAATAATCTTACGTTAGCTATGAATTTCTTCCTAGTTAGTCATCATAAATAACTAACAAGCAATCTGCTGTTTCTCCTTCCACATTTCACCATAAAAGGATGTTATGCATCATCACTTTAGACTGAGAAACAGGGTTCATTAGGGAAATCTCACTCAAACCATCTGAACTTGAGCATATATTTACTCCAACTGTTAAGTTTTTATTATTGACCTACCCTTCACAACCACACTCAAATTAGCATTTTGTCAGGATTGTATCACTAGACTCTTGGCAGTCACTAGGGTGACACAACCCTGATGCTGAATGTAGGTCAGTGTGCATGTTCCTTAGATGCTAAACTTCCCCCTAACAACCAAAAATATGGCCCGGAAATCCTACAAACGTGGGAGCCATCACTAGAACACTATTCCCAGAGTTGCATATACCCTTGGCATACTCAACTAGACAGATTGACATTTTCACAGTTTTCTTTGGGATTTAAAACAAGAAATCAATTCACGAAAGAAAGCTTTAAACATTTGTAATTCATTACATGCAGGGTGTCCACATTTGTGTAATAATAAGGTATTTCAATACTTTGATAGTTTCTGGGAAGGGTTGTTTGTTTTGTTTTACCTTTTAAAATGTTAAATCTAAAGGAAATTTGGTCAAGATTACTGAAAATAATTTGAACAAAAGAAGTAAAACTCATCATTGAATCACTGTATTCTCACAGTATTTTTGGTATGCTTCATTTAACTTTTACTCTCAAAATAGATTTTAAAATGGACACATTTTGTGATTAGAAATTAATTAACCTTTAAGTTAAGAAAAACTATGTGATTTGTGGGTAAATTATCCATTTTCTTTTCTTTTTTTATTTTCATTTTTTTAAATTCTGTCTTTTAAGTGCTCCTTTATTTGTGCTTGTGAACACGAGCTTGACAGCTTTGAATTTGTTTGTGAACAAGCCTACATATTTTTTCTATTTTAGAAATAAATTCATAACATCTGGAAGTTCTTAAATCCATTATAAATCCAAAGATTTCCTGTGCTAGAAAGAGTGATCGCTTTTTCAGAGTTATGAAAATCCTGAGAGTAATTAACTTATTGAAAAATTATAAGAAGTCTAAAGGAAGGGC